AAAGCCACCGCGAGGAGTGGGGGGGGTGGTATTTGGATTGTAGAGAACACCACACATAAAAATTTGCCAAAGTTAGAAAACCACTGGACTAACCAAGTGCATGACCCGACAACCCTTAAACAAAGTGAGCACCGACCAAGATCTGCATGTGGTGTGAAGGCATCTTCAAGGTCTTCACCTCACCTGCTTAAGGATGACAGTGAACTCAGCTGCCTTGTAGTCAAAGAGCTTCCCTTCTCAGTGGGTGGACATGAGGTGGCCCGTGGGGGAAAGCTGGCTATGCTACATCCTGAGAGTTAACCCCCATATGTTGCATTTCAGGTTGGCTGAGAGATATCACGGGGAACTTCACCGCGTCCTTCATCTCCGCTGGAGCGGTCCTCTTGGCTGGTAGCCTTGTCCTTCTTACGTTGCCCAACTACTTCTCTTGCTCAAGACCACCCAAAACCCAGCCGCCTGGCACAGCCGAACACCAAGACCCAAAGACCCTGGAATCAGGAGGGTTACCCCAACAAGGCAGAAACCTTTACCAGATAGAAACGGGCTAGTCCATTCCCACAACCAAACAGAAAAAAGAAAAACCTCTTCGTCCCTCACTTCCTCGTCCACAGCTCTTCATACTTGCTGCTGGTCCAACTCGTTCTTGTGACTTCGACACAGGGGAGAGATCTCTGTTGGTTTTACAGGACACCAGGCAGGGGTGTTTGCAAGGGGGGAGGGGGGGTTTAAAAAAAATATCAAGATAGCAACCGCAACCATGTGATCGAAGCCCTGACCTAAATTGCTGTCACAGGTAGTCCTCGTTTTGCAACCACAATTGGGATCGGCAACTCGGTCATTAAGCAAAGCGGTCACTAAGTGAAACCGCAATGGTGCTTAGATCTTCCTTCAGCTTTCCTTTGCTTTACAGACCTGCGAAGGTCGTAAATGCGAGGATTGGTCATAAGTTACTTTTTCATCACTGTTGTAACTGTGAACGGTCGCTAAACGAGGCAGTCGCTAAATGAGGACTACCTGTACTTGTTTGATGCTTTTTTTTTTTTTAATATCAGTGGAATAAGAAACTGACAAGCCATCTGATGCCTAGTCAGTTTCCAAGGGGCTGGTCAATTTCACTTGTAAAGCGAACCGAGGAATGTTCAGTATTACTCTGGGATCGAGAGATGCTGTTCCTTTGAGAAGACAAGGTTTTTGGGGTGGGGGTTGTTTTGTTTTTGAAGCTTCAGTGTCTAAGAATGTGCTTGTCTTTCCACGTGCATTACGCAACATTAAAAACCATTTCAAATACTTAAATGAGAAAGCTGCTGTCGACAGAAGAAAAGCCATAGAATTCTGTGCCGTTGGACGTGGGAGCTGCGCATTCGGTGCTGAAGACGCACCGGAATATCTGCGCCTGCCCTGCAACGTAGCAGGTTGTACTCGGCTCGCGGCGCGCTGTGGCTAGATCCACCACAGACCTCTCTTGTTAATTCCAGCGACCGGGGCAAATCCTGCAGGTCCCACTCAATGCATTGCAAGCTGTCGGACATATAGAGACAATGGGGTGGAGTGGTGAAGGAGCTGGACAGGTACCGGGAAACTCCAGGTTCGAGTCTGCCCCCAGCCACAGACGATCTCTGGGAGACTTTGGGCCCATCACCCTCTCTGAGCCAGCCTACCTTGCAAGGCTGAGGTTTGGGGAAAAAGAGGAGGACCGAGAGCATATGTGAGTTGTCATGGAGTTGGGAGGCCCTATAAAGTTAAATTAATATATATTTAATAAATACATAAATGCTGCCTTGCACTCCTGAAGGAAAGCTGAGATATGAATCAAATAAGTCAGGTCATTACAGCTGCAAACCAAAATCAACCAATTAAAGAAGTGGATGCATTTCTCTATTCCAGTAGTTTTCAACTTTGGCAACTTTAAGGTGGGTGGACTTCAACTCCCAGAATTCCCCAGCCAGCATGCTGGCTGGGGAATTCTG